GTGAAGTTCTTTTTTAAGCTCTCCCAAGTGTCCACAGTACATCGGTCATCTTAAATATCCATGTACTTAGATCTCCACCACAACTTTGCATGATTAGCTAGATTTATGACCAATGTGTCACCTCTTCTGCCATGGTATTTGTGAGTTGAAATTTCTGTTTGAGGTCAAAGATAAAGTTCATCAAAGTCTTAGCGTCTCGAGCCCCCACACAAGGGCTTAGGATTCAAGACGTTCACCTTGTTAAATTGGACTGCATCCTATTTGGAGTTTTGTTTCCCACTGCTCTAATGGTGAGGTTTAGCTTGGTGCTCAAATTTTCCACTTCAACACTAACCACAATAATGGTTGCTACTAAATCCTCAAACATTTTTTTAGACATTTGAACAATCACTTGTTGGGTATTGTCTAGGCTCGTGATACCTTCTTCCATCTGGGAACACAGTCCATCGAACTATCCCCACGCTTGAAGCCACCATAAATTGTGGCCTTATCTTCTTGGGCCTTGATCCTTATTATTAATTCACGGACGGGCATGGCTTCAAGGTGACATGCTATTTCGTCGATTTTATAAGCCTTAGTGGCAATCTAGTTCATGTGAGATTCCAAAACCCTCGTTCCATCAAGAACTTCACTCGGGTAGGGCAACCGATCTTCAATCTTTACAAATCGGTTCGCGTAGGACTTGCCCAACTATTTTGCAGTGAACATGTTTGCTTATGATTCAAGGAGCCGACATGACTTTGGTACCACTCGTCACAATCACACTTTTGGGGCAATGGGACAATGATTGTGCGACACTTATTCTAACCTAGCGAACAAATCCGCTGTATGAAAATCAAACTTTGCGAACAATCTTTATGTATGATCGAGTCTCAAGTCACGTTATGCAAAAATATATATATATATAAAAAACGTGAGCAAAAATAGCGTCGAAAACAATTTGGAAAAAAAAAACAATGTTATAGGTTAAAAACGAATAAGCGACAACTATAACTTTGATAGCATATAACCAGAGTATGAAGAATTGACAACTAGTCACATCTCCGTATAGTATATTTCGGGTCATTTTAGCCTTGACGGGTATAGAAATAGATTTTGGTGAACGGTCATACACCCGATTGTTGACATGACAGGAATATTAAAGACCTAATTTTTCAAGATTTGGATAAGCCTTGAAATGATTACAATATGCATACGTTGTTAGTATAAACGAGACATAGATCGTGTGCTTTTTTAATAACAATCCATGGATAGGTTACTAGATAAAACGCCTCGACAACTCAGCCTCTAACCCAAGTAATCGTTAAACTATATAAAAAGAGTCTACTAATTACCAATGAAACCCTAGTACATGCATTCTCTCAATTCTACCTTTCCCTAAAATACAAAGATTAAGAAGAGAGTAAAGGGTGGGGAAAAAGTGACTTAGTTTGAAGACAAGATATAGGGACAAAATAAGGGTAACAAAGCATGTGCATCTATGAAGGAGGACCAAAACTATTTAAAACGCCTGGCTTTGTAATGCTCATAAATAACAATACATCCATACACAACAAGAGTAATCAATCCACATTACGAATAGAAAGAGAGAAGGGGTGATGGTTGGTGTAGGGTGAACCACGGACAGCAGCTGGGCCACATAAAAGGGACCAAAACAACACAGTCGCCATTAATGGTGAATTGGAGTAGAAAACAGATCACTTATGACAAACCAAGTCATGACAACACACTCTTTACTTTTCACTCTTTCATGTCATAAATTAGGGTTCATATATGATATTTTTGATTCAGTATTTGACATGTTATGTCATACTATCCTTAAACGTTATCTCGTTAAAATTATATATTTAGGTATAAACTTTAAAATTTAATTGTTTTATTAAATTTCAACTCTAAGTTTAAGTCTAGTAGATTTGTAATTTTGAAAGTTAAAACTTATATGGGTTAAATTGAAAAAATCTTTTCAACCAACTAAAAATTTCTAGTTAGTTGGATTGGTGACCCGAACAATCTAAATATAGTTCACAATACAACTTCTATTTATTTTTAGATGGGTTAGGTTGGATTTTCAGTTGTTTTTTTATAATTATTTTATAAAACATTACTTATTATATTAATGACTAGAATTTCATAAAATTCAAATATCACCCAATTTTAACCTCAGTTACAAAAGTTAATTGTTAAATATATTTAATATTTTTAAAAGTAGGGTTACGTTGGGTTGTAACGGATTGGTTAGGTTGATCCGACCAAAAATATTTCAACTTGCAAACTACACCGAATTTTCGATTTAATCTAATCCAACCCAAGGTTTCTAGTTTGGATTGGTTGGATTATCACACCTTCTTATTTCCCACCACCTTTATTCATTAAAAAAATTTCCTTTTGGAGGGTTTCATATCAACTAATCCTTTTCATCAAGTGGCCCTCTTTAAAAGAACTCTCCAACCCACATGCATACACTACACCTTTTTCTTTACATTCAACACAAGTTAACATCAAATTCCCTGTATCAAACTGTTCAAAGTTGAAAGCAATTTGTATACATATTCAAATCCTTTAATTATTACCATACCTATAAATTTAATTTGAATAATCGAGCTATGCTTTGTACGATCTCACATGATAGATGGAGTTCGGGTTACATAATTGAAGCGAAGCATAGGACGTGGGAGAGATGCGTGGCGTAGGTAGTCCGAATACAAACCAACAAGTTTGAGGGATAGAAATGAAATGAAAGGAAAATAAATGAATGTGAAAGGCATTGAATTAGTAGATTTACTTCTGTTTTCAATTGTGGGCCTTTTCCTTTGCTATTAATTTCACATCCTTTTCACTCTCAATTCAATGTATTATCATATAGATGAGGATGGAATTGCTATATATTGCCTAAATATATAATTCCATCTTTTATGAACCGTAAACAACAAACCAAAAAGAAAAAAACTTATTTTAGTTGAATCCTTTATCTCTAAACTTTCTAAAATATATTATTTTAATTTAACATATACTTTTTTTTATACGAAAATTTGGATATTTGACTTGTAATAGCTCAAGCCTACCGTTACATATAATATTAGAGCCAGACGTCGGGTAGTGAATTGTGAGATTCCACATCGATTGGAGAGAGTAACGAGTGTCAGTGAGAATGCTGGGTTTCGAAGGTGGGTGGATTGTGAGATCCCACATCGGTTAGAAAGGGAAACGAAATATTATTTATAAAAGCATGGATATCTCTCCCTAATAGACATGTTTTAAGAACCTTGAAGTAAAGCTCGAAAGAGAAAATCCAAAAAAATAATATCTACTAGCGGTAAGCTTGGCATCATATCTTATAATATAACAACTATTTTTTGAGCCATTTACATAAATAATATAAAATAAATATGTTTTTTTTTTTTTTTTTTTTATGTACAACCAAAAATAGCATATTCTAAATTCTACTCAAATTCAAACTTATATATATTATTATTTTTTTTTTTTTACATTTACATAAATTTACTTTATCATATTCACAATTAACTTTTAACATTGAAAAATCTCTCTTGTTATCAAATTTGTAAAAACGATTACTCCCCTGTGGTTTAGAAAAAGCAATTAATGGGCTTCTTTCTGAAAGCCCAATGAATGTTGGGCCTGAAACTTATGGTGATAGAAAGTCCAGCCCACAAGGGGACCTATTCTGGGCTTTTAGCTATGCTCTGCTCACTTAGATAGGCCATAGTAATTCTAGTGATCCAGACCTCGAACCAAACCACAACATGAACAGACCAAGAACCCAAACTGACTCGCCCATCCACACCTCGACTCGCTGACTCGTGTGTTGAGTTGAATCCACGACTGCATCTCATCCACGTGCCCGAGCTATCGTCGGATCCTGACTCGCGTGTGGCTTGATTGAACTGCCCTCTGCATTTAGCTCGCTATCAACTCAACAACTCTAGGTCTACTTATTTCGCTTATATGGCTTAGTTCACCCATTTGAACATCGTTCTACTATTTTGGACCCTTTGCTACCATTATGGACCCCACTCAAGTCATTTTTGACGTTATTGAGAGCATTTAAGGCGAAATTGAAATTCAAGGAGTAAAATTAGATTAGCACTAAAGAGTTTTAGGGAACTTCGGCTAAGACACTCAAGTAAGTGGTTTTACTGTTGGATGCTCATAGACTTGATTGGATGACTTGTCTACCTGCGACCTCTATACATGTCATATTTTTATGGTGCTATGTAATGTTATGATTATGCTATGTTATGATATGAATGTTATAAGATTCATGTATTATGTTAGCATGTTCACATGCTATGCTACATCTATTATGTTAGCATATTCATATTATGCCTATGAGACGTTGATAAGTCGTATAAGTTAACCATAAAAAATATGTCCAAGTATACGAATGCATGTCACATAGAACATTATGTCATGAAAAGGTATTATTTGCATCATAAGTATGTACCATGATTTAAAACTATGAAGCATCCTACATTTTGTAAGTCACATGCATGGAGATACTTTCTTGTTATAATTAATACCGACGCGTAAACCTTAATATTATACACACTTTTTTTCCTTTGTGGCTTCTAGCAGCGTGAGAGTGTACTACCCATGTGTGTATGAGCCCTCTGTAGAGAATACTACATATTCAACTCTATCTCGACTAGAAGGTACAGAATAGGAAAAATAGGGTCGTTACAATCCACCCGAGATAGGGCCTCCTTTGGGTCCCCCAAGCCTACACATTTTTTCTCAAAATGGGAAATTGGCAAGAAGTTGAGAAAATAATTGCTCTTGGTGAAGCTTTTACTAGAAGTGGAACCCACCAAAGACTATGATATTGTTTAAACTTTAATAAAGATCATCAATTTTGTAGTTACAAAATGCTTAAACTTAGACATAAATATTTTATTAAATATGTTTTAATCTGACAGAGATAATAATCGGATGAAATCGTAAGGATTGTCGAGAATATGAAAATTTCTAATTAATTCATTACATCAAATTGAAGGAAAGAGAGAGAGAGAGAGAGAGAGAGTAATAAATAACAAAGTTCCAGCGATCATTCCGACCTCCGATTTGCGTCCTGCGATGGCGGAGCCACTGGATTCATCGTCCGGTTTATGAGGAGGCTTCTTGAAGTAATAAGGGAAGTACGGCAGAATCGGGTCCGGAGGCGGTGGAGTGACGCCATCGAAGCTGTTGCCGTTGGAGGGCGGGGTGTTATATGGGTAGGTAGCAGCCGGAGGAGGGTAGAAGGCCGGAGGAGAATAGGAGCCATAGCCTGTTTGCGATGGCGGAGATGGAGTGGTGGGAGTAGCGGTGGCGGGGCCGGTGGGCGGAGGGTAGCAGGGATATGGGCAGGTGTCTTCGGTCCTTGTCGGCAGCGGGAGGACAGCGAGGATGAAGGGCAGGAGCACGGCGGCGATGGCAGTGTTTGGGTGGGAAGCCATTTGTGGGAGGAGAGAGAAAGGGGAAGTTAAGAGAGAGAAAAGTTGGAAGAAAAAAAATGAGTTAAGTGAAGTGTCAATGGGAAAGGAGCTTTTGTCGAGGGGATGAATGAATGAATGTGGAAAAAAATGTTCTTTTTATTTTTTTATTTTGTCTTAGAAATCATTTTTGGAAATAATGTAATAAATATTTGTGGACATGTTTTAAAACTGAAAGAACAAATATATATATATATATATGTTATCTTTTACACTTCCTACAAAAATCTTCAATAAACTTAAAAGTTGTTGAGGGTATCAATTGATAATCAGTGTTACCTAAATATTCCATTTGGTAAAGTCTCCCAATTCATAATTCTTAGTTTCCAACAAACTTCTATTACAAATTTTCCACTTGTTTAGTGTTTTTGTTCCTAAACCCGACTGAGAGGGCTAAGGCAAATGCCGACTTAGATGTTGGGATATGGAGGCCTAACAAACATATATTTTGAAAATATTTAGTAAAGATGAGATAGAGATATATATATTAGAAGATATTTGGTAAAAGAGAAGATATATTTGTTAGATTATATTGGTGTTTAAATATTTAGAAGCTATATTTAGTAAATTGAAATCATACATGACTGTTATTCTTTTGTTCTGTATGTTCTTTCTTGTGTACTTACTTAAGTCATCAATAAAACCTTTGCAAGTGTGTGTTGTTGAGCGATCCTAACAACGGGTATCGATCCTAACATTAGATTTTACGTTTTTATTGCTTTAAAACGAAAAACTAAAAATATGTAAGATGCAAACTCATACATTCTAAGAAAACAATGCAACTTTATACGTCATACTCCTTTAATATCAAATAAGAAACATGGTTCATTCAAATTTATTTGAAAGCAGAAAGCTCGTAGCATATTAAGTGCAAACGAAATTAAAAGATAAGGTTAATGAAAATTTTAGAGTAATAATTGAAATGATGTAGAAGTACAAATATCGTCCCTCCCATCACAACTTTTGCATGTCGTTGCCTTTACCTCAACAAAATCTTAAAAGGCTGAATATTGAAAATATAGGATGGGATTAAATATGTATACATTCTCCCAGAGTTGAGGGCTATAAATCTTTTAAAACTAGTCAACTCTCATCCACGTAGATGAACATGTGCCACAAGTAAAAATCACGAAAAATGATACACAATTTGGCGACGTCTAAAGACAAAGTCTTTAGTTCTTCTACGATGTCAATGCGTCACTTCCCTTAGACATAATTTGCACTAGTCTCTCCACATAATTTAAATAACCATTCGAGTGTAGAGGCTCATGGTCGATCACATGAGTCGAGTTTACTATATACTTATGTAGGGGTGAGATTCATACCAAAGAGTGCTGAAACTTTGAACTCTCCCAAATTGCTTAGATAGCAATAGAGACTATATTCGAGCTTCCTAAAGCTTAGAGTAAAATCTGTAGATTCTGACTAGACTAAAGATGTGATGATAGCTTACAAGTAGATTTGTTACGGAGTATTTTTATACTCGCCCTTTTCTCAATTTTTAGGTGTTGGCAAGCTACTATTTGAGGTGGGAAAGCATACGAGAGTTGTGTGGTTGCAGAGAGGGTTGTTCTTGAGCATTAGTCTATCTTTGTATTTTGAGTTTTTTGTATTTCGATTTGTAATTGTATCTCGAACCCGTTTTTCCATTTGTAATAAATTTGAACGACACCGTCTTGTAATTGGATTTCGTTTTGTACTTAATTGTGTTATTTGTTTTGTAATTTCATTTAAAATTTACTCTATTTTTCGTATTTTACTTTATTTTACTTATTTACGATTATCTACTTTCATCTTTTTTTTTTTTTTTGTCGTGGTCTGGGATTTGAAGCCTCAAAATCGGATCGTGACAACATAATTGATAGATAAACGTTGGTAGGCACGAGGTTCACTCTCTTCTTGATGATTGTGACATTATAGGACCTACTAAAGAGACACAAACTAAATACTACTAGAGAATCTATCTCGACTGATAGTGTCCATTGTGATATGATAAGAATCATGAATTGGAAGCATGATAAGATTGTGCCTCCGATTACCTATAATGTGTAGGTTATGATGAAAAGGACTATTAAATAGCCAATCAAAATCCCATAAGATCCAAAGAGATACTTCACAAACTTGTAATCTCCAATGTGAGAGCCTTGAAAAGGTTGATTCCAATTGAACCTAGTTGATAGCCTAGAATCTAGGTATGAAATAATGTGCGATAAAGGCGAGGGCATGGACGAGCTACAGGGCTATAAGGGTTAAGATAGATTCATGTCTCGACTTTTTCGACTCTGGATGATTATATGAACTTATTTTCATGATGTATAAAAAATCGAATCAATACATACTCACGAAGGAAGTTTAGAACTGAAATCAAACCAATTCTCATCATTAAATTGGAGAATGAAGATTGAGTTTGGATGAAAAGGGGTTTACGTAAGTTTGATGAGTTTGGAAGGGTAATTAAGTTCCCAATATCCCAATTCTTACGCCAACACCTGCAAAGGTAGAGTGATTTAGACGAGTAGTGCAGGTTAAGCTTTAGTTCTTATCCCCATATTTTATCTATATATTTTCACCTAATTCACTTTATTTTATTTATTTTTTCTTTTTTTTTCAAAAGGACTAATTGACTTTATTATTATTATTATTGTTGTGTCAATAGGGGGTGTATGATTATTCACAAAAATCATGTCTACACCTATCAAGGCTAAGATACCCCAAAATGTATTACAGAGGATGTGACTGGTTGTCAATTCTTCCTACCCAAGTTATATGCTATCAAAATCGTTGTTGATGCCTACTCTCTTTTAGTCTATAACATTGATTTCTTTAAAATTATTTTTAACGTATTACCTCACTCAAGTTTTCTAAAGCATTTATCTCAAACTTGACTCTAGGCTCGAGCATACACTGATATTATCTAGGAAGTCTTAATTTTACATAGTTGACTTGTTTGTTTGGTTAGAACAAGTGTAGTACAATCGTTGTTCTCATCATTAGTAAGAGAAAAATCACATTGTAAGAGCCAAATTGTTTTTTAGAAAATTTAAAAATCATTAGGGTCACTATTGGTTGCACAAATTCCAGCGACCAACCTCCTCTCGTGCCTAAAGCTCCCCAAATCACTCTCATTCACTCCACTCCTCATTCTCTCAAAAATCATTTTCTCTCAACAAGTCATGAAAATTCAAGCATACATAGAAGAAACGGTGTATCGCTATACACATTGCCACAGTTATTGGAGGGCAGGAACATGTCGTTGGGACGTGTTGTAGTAGACGTTGAGGAATATTGATGAAGAGAGAGAGAGACTGAACAAAGAAGAGAGAGGGATTGATGGTGATTGTGAGAGAACAAGAATGATATTGAGAGGGAAGAAGTTAGGATCGCACAACAACTTCACAGACTTAATCGAGATGAACACAAAATGAACCCAAAGGATTTCAATTTACTAAATATAAAGATTTAACCCTTTCATACTAATAATCTACTAAATATATCTCTATCAAATATTTACCAAATATTTATTTTATATATCTATTTCCCATCTTTACAAAATATCTACAAAATATATTTCTACAACATCTTTACTATGAATAGGCTAGCTCCATATCCAGCAATCTTCACTGGGAGACTGGTACAATCAACTAAGAATTTGCACAATCTCAATGTTCCAACATCAGCACAAAATGTTTGTTGGATTCCTTGCACCCTCTATCTTCTCCAAACACATCATCATCTTCCACTAACCTCCAAGTGAAATGGTATCGCCTTCTGTGTTTTATCTTTGAATGATAAATCGGGTTCCTCGTCAACTGCATGACACTCTAACTATCTACATGAAGAATCTTCTCGCGCTGCTTTTTGACTAATTCTTCTGGATAGTATGTCATCCATATCATCTTCTTTTCAGCTTCAGGTATTGCCACGTACTCAGCCTTAGTAGAGAAGGTACATACCTATCTAGTATTCTGATAGCTTTGTATCATCTTTCCAACACCTATTCAGGTGTCACTTGCTCTGCTTTTGGTTCCTCAACAATAGTCTCTAAACATCACTAGGTGAATCTTTCGACAACTCAACCCCAACTCCCACTTGCTTCGTTGTCCCGGTACTTTTCTTCAATTCTCTAACAGTCTTTGTGAAGCTAACTCGTTTCTGTTTGCTCATAACGCATTTCTCACAAGGACTCATATCAACAGATTTCAGTCCTTCCAAAACTTCTTTTGCAACCAACATCTTTACTCCTTTAACGCTCATATGTCCAAAACTATTGTGCCATAGACTTGAATTTGTAGCACTCTCAACAACAGCAGCTATGTTCATACACCCTGTAGTAGTATATAAAGTTCCAGATTTTTTGCCACGTGCTACCACCATAGCACCCTTCATAACCTGTGCTATCCAACTAACCAATAGAGATCAGGTTCTTCTTGAGACTAGGAATATATCTGACATCCCTCAATGTCCACTGATTTCCTATCGGATTTTTTATGTAGACATCCTCTTTTCCTTCAATATTCAAATATTTGTTGCTGGCAAGATACACCTTCTCACGATGCACCTGAATCCAAAATCTAGGATTCAATTAGACGGTCTACATTGAGAATTAGAGCATCCCCAATGTCTTCTATTGAATTTACCGAATCATCGTCATCCTTTGATTTGCGATTCGGCTTCCTCTTTGTACAATCAGCCCGAAAGTGACTTTTTTCTCCACAACTCCAACACTTTGCATTTGGTTTGTTTGGAGATTTTCCTTGGTTTCTTGATTTTGATCGCCCATTGTTTGGGTTCTTTGATTTACTTCTTCCCCTTCGATCAACACTGAGAGCATTGCCTGATGAATCTGCAATTTTTCGTTTGCAAATACTTTCGCTAAGAACTACATCTCGAATTTCATCGAACTTCAGTTTATCATATCCTCAAGAATTGTTGATCGCGGCAACAACAATATCCCACGACTCGGG